AGACACAAGCAATAGTTATAACAGTCATAAGCAGTTCACAATAGATAAGGCAAACAAGGCAAGGCATAAACAACAATCATAGCTCAACATAAACAGTCCCCAACATAAATCCCGCAGTCACATCCATCAAGATATTCATAACCACAACTCTTCCATATCTCAACACATAGCACATTTTGTTGGCGCCACAGGACCAATCGCATGCCCATACATGAGGGTCAGCGCATATAGCTCTGACACGGCCCCGCAGCACCCTGCCCCGTATCGCCACACGGAGGGGTCGATCGCAACCGACCAATGAACCGCAACTCATAAGAATGTGTAATCTGACTGTAGCCAGGAATTCCCATCTGACTACAGCCAGCTTCCGAACCGCTGCTCGGGAGAAGGTCATCTGATTGCAGCCAGGAATTCCCATCTGACTACAACCAGCTTCTGGGCCGCTGCCCAGGATACCGTCATCCGACTGCAGCCAGGAATTCCCATCTGACTGTAGCCGGCTTCTGAACCGTAGCTCAGGATAACCAATCCGATCGCAACCGAATTGGGCAACACACACACATAACACATAGCAAGCACATGCAACCCACATTACACGTTGGGAGGGGAATACAACGTATAAGTAAACCTATGCATGATCCATCACCAACTAGGAATAGCCCTACGGGGTTCATACTTCTACCACCTAGGTCAACGGGGTACCAATTCAACTAGCATGCAATGTAATCGACTCACAAACCTACGAACGGTACTCGAAATATCAAACTAGACATAGGCACGACAAACGGGGTCCGTTGGGACACCACGGGGGTCGGGGAAACATCAAACGGGGAAGCCGGGGTCCCGAGGGGGGGAATATTCCAGCGGGTAGCCGGTGGGTGGGGGGGTCACCCGCCGGCTGCCCGCCGGTAACACTGTTCTGGGCAGCGGGTTGCCGGTGGGCAGCTGCCCGCCCGCCGGCTGCCCGCTGCCGGAACAGTAATCTCGGCCGTGGGTAGGTGGCGGGTCCCCTACCCCCCACTGACTCTTTTCACAACTTTTTCGTCCCGGAAACCGATGTGGAACCCGAAACCATGCTTAGACACCTTACAACGTAATTAACGGCAACACGTAGACAATAAACGGATCGAATACGAGAAACGAGCGACACTTATCCTATCATGCTTTTCTAAACACAATCAACTCCCAAACATGCGATTTCCCACCCGATAATCCAAGAATAATATCATACGATATAATCTAGGGTTCTAATCACTTTTATGTTAACAAGAATACGATTCGTCTTCTAATTGCAAGATTCGGTAAGAACAACACATAATTGTCAAGGATACCAATCAATCATCAAGAACAACACATAATCATCAAGAATACCAATTAATCATCAAGAACCTCATAATTATCAAGAAACTCCCAATATCAAGATTATCAAGATTCCCCATGGAATCATCAAATCAACATCAATACTAAATATCACCTTAATCTCGCCATTAACAATAACATGGGGGAAACCCTAAGGGAAATCATAACTATGAAAATAGGTTTTGTTGAGACATGGGTTACCTCTTAGCCTTAATTAATTCCTTGGCTATGAAGGATCTTTCTTTAATCTTTCTTGATTTCTTGATTCCTCCTAGGGGGATTCTTGGAGCTCCTTGGGTGGTGGGAGATTATTGTGGTGGGAATTCTAAATGCCTTTTAAGTTCCCTATTTATATGCTATGGGGTTTAATTCTCCTAGGATTAGGTATTGGGCTTAAGGGATGGGGGTCCACGGACCATGGTGGGCTTAATACTAATTAATCATTGTGATTTATTTCTATTCTCCCTGGTTAGATGTCTAATTAATTAATTGGTTTTAGGACTCGTAACACGGGGTGTCACACTAGTTTCGATGGAGCGTGAAAATTAACTCAGTGTCTGGTCATTCATGGCTACACCTTTTGATGAATCCATCTTCTATAAAGGAATCCCTCGTGCGAAATAGCTTCACATCTCTCATAATCCTTCGAGTTCGAAGTACTATCCTATCGTTATGGACAAAGGGAAGAAGATGTGTTTTCCAACCAAGGATCTGATAAAGAAAGTTCGCTTTGAGATCAATCCTTCTCATGAACTCAGCAATTCTCTAAAGGAAGGATCATCCTCTGGTGAAGGATTCACCAAAGTCTCAAGTCTCTCTCACTTCTTCACTCTTGTGAAGCTAGCACCTCAACTTAAAACTGAAGAGAAATACACGGCAATGCATGCTGCAGCTCAAGCAAGAGTCAAGGCTGAATTGGATGCTATGGAAAAGAGAGGATTGTCCAGAGATACTATGGGAACTGATCACGAAAAGATTGTGGATGAAGTGTTCGCTCTCAAAATCATCAAGAAGGAAAATGCTGAGAATGCCCGAAAGAAGAGGGAAGACAAAGAGTAAAAGCTCGTGTAGCCTGAATCACGAGAGATGCAGTCAAGTTTTTAATTTCTCCATATTTCGTGTAATAATCATCTCTCGGACTTTTTCATGTGTTTTTGTTGTATGTCTCGTATAGGTTCACGAAACTTTATTTGTTTCATGGACTTCTTTCATCGTGATAAGTAAAATGTGTTATGTTTCGGTTGTGAAGCGTGCTCAAGAAGATACACTTTATCTAGATCATTTGAACCGTTGATACATATTTTTAGTGGGCATCGTGTGACTGAGAAAACCGGTCCAATACCCCACGATCTCTGTCAGTTGATCTGACCTGCATTTAATGCACCTGATGGCACTCAAGTGATTTTCTCTCTCCTCTTTAATGAAGAATGATCAAAACTGATCTGCAAATGATCTTATCATATCTTTATCACCAGATCAGTTACCTCTTTAGTGGAATTGGAACAGATTGAATTTCAAAATTCAAACCACCCACATCTCACATGGGTCACCCAACTTTACCTATATCCTTAACCCACGTAAACCCTACATAAACCCTCCCTCTACCATCTTTCACCTTTTCCCTTCATCCTCTCCCTCAAATCCATCCTCTCACCAAAATTTTCTCAAACTTCTCTCAAATGGCTAAGAAATCAAAAACCACCCCCTCAGACGTCGAACCTGAAACACCATCTACAATGGAGATACCCACCTTCCCAACAGACGACACCAACTTCATTGAGTCACGGACTTCCTTCATCGCTGGTGGCAGTATGTGGGATACCCATGGTTTCTTAGATTACGTCATCGATCGAAGCTTTGGTGAAAAAGTCATCACCCTTCTGAAAGAAACCGGTTTGTACAAATTTGCAGTTCATCTATATACATTTTGGTTTCCCACAAATGTTGTCCAGTTCTATTTGAATGCACGTGTATCCGCATTCTATTTGAATGCACGTGTATCCCCGGATGGACTCACCATATCTTCTAGAGTCAACAAAGCTGAGGTGACAATCACATCGGAGGATATTCAAATGGCCTTCGAATTTCCTTAGCGAGATGAGTCATACAAGTCGAACTTCGCTTTCTACCACTTTGATCAGAATGACTTCTACGGATTGATAAAAAACAAGCAAGCTCCTATTGAAATTTCGTGGCCCCTAAAGAAGAAATTGCTCCACTTGGACTACGAGTTCACAGTGGATATCTTTAACAAGATTGTAGAGCACAAGACGTCGGCCACAGACGACGTGACGAAGGATAAGTTAAAAATGTTGCATGCATTTTTTGATGAATACAAGGTTGATTGGTCAAAAGTCATCTTCAACAACCTTCTCCATGTCATCACGAATGGTAGAACATCTCCTGGAGATATCTCAAAGAAGATGGGATTCGGATTTTTGGTAAGTCATCTCCTTACCACGAAAAATATCCCCCTAAGAGCAGGAGTTAGGCCTGGACCGAAGGCGTGCTAGATGAAGTATAAGCCCTAGGGGTACGACAAGCAGAAGGCATTAGAGTTGGAAATACCCTTGGAATTGGTCAAATCTAAACGCAAGTCTAGGAAGGTGAAAGATTCGGAAGATGACCAACCAAAGTCCAAACGACGATGGAAAGAAAAGAGTTCGTCTCATGTCAAGACGACAGGAGTACCTGAAGAGCAACCAATCTCTACACCACCAAAGTCCACAACAGAGCTTCCAGACGAAATGACGACTCAAACACCACATGTTCCATCAAAGAATCCAGTCGTTGTGGAGGATTCTTCGGATGATGATGACAATATCGTTCTCTCCACTCTCGGACAAAAATCAACAAGACGATTTCGCTCTCCTGTAAAAGCAAAATTTGTTCCCCCTCCTTCGTCAAAGTTGGATGAAATGGCGAAAGAAGCATCTTCTCAGGGGGAAGATAAGTTGAAAGCTTCTAAGAAAAGGAAGGCTAGATCTTCCTCAGACGCAAGTTCTCCACAAAACCTCCATCCACAAGAACCCATCTCAGCAGAGCGACTATCTCCATGTTCGACACAAGAACCTGCTGTTATGGAAACGGAGGTCAATCACTTAAGTCTCCCCCAAGAACCTGACTTGCCAGAAGAGACGAGAGAAGTGATTGCTAACCCGATTGCTGCTGATGTTTTTCCCACCGAAAGTTCCCTTCCACAAGAACCTACCATTGCAGAACAGGTACCGAATATTCTGACACAAGAACCTGCATCGGTAGTTGAGGATGAAAGTTTGAAAGCTAAAAATGTTGTTGATTCGAAAGCAATTGTGACAGTACCAGAAGCTACACCAATCCCTCCATCAAAGGATCAACTGCTTCGAGAATCTATTGAGAATGACTTCATTAGAGTCATGAAATGGAAACAATGGAGGACCTCATCTCTACAAGCATTCCTCGAATCATTTAACCTCATGAAGAACGAAGAGGACTTTGCTCTGGAATGGCTCGGTACGCGAAATGTGTATGAGGCTACACGAATTAAGACCATCAACAAGGCCTTCTCATACAAGATAACTAACCGAGTCTTATAGAAAGAAAAGGCCCCTATTTGCATCGAGTTGAAGAAACCACCCCTAGATCTAGTCTTTGAAGTAGAGATGAAGGAAATGAGATTGGCCCTCTTGCGCTCCAAAGTCAAGACTGATCTCGAGAAATCGCACCAAAATGATCCAAATTGCAATGTCAATGGATCAAAGGACGAAAATGGCAGAGAAATTGAAGAAGAAAACGTTTCTGCTGAGAACGATTCTGAAGAAGATCACGAAAGAACATCTGATTCTCCGACAGCTGAAAATGAAGAAGAAGAAAAAGAAGAAGACAAAGATGATGCAGATGATGACGAAGATGATGCAGATGATGATGAAGGTGATGATGACTCAGGGAATGATGATGATGACAACAATGAGGGTAACCCGAACTATCATAGTGAATCTCCTATCTTAGTTGTTGATGAAGCTTTACCCGAAAGAACTTCATCTCAACATTCATCCTCAAAAAGTGATGACAAAAGGGAAGCATCACTTAGGCCTGAGATCTCAATAGCAAGTGGATTGCATGAAGCCTCCCCTCGGATTGGAATTCCTCCTGCTGAAGAAATTTCAACTACACCTCTTGAAGATTTATCTCGTGCTATCGTCTCTCATATTAATCATGGACGAATCACCTATCAAGAGAGAAGATGCTACAATACGTGAGGAAAAACTGGATGCCTCACCTATTCTTATCAGCTTAGCAAGTGGTGGCAAAAAGGATGCACCATCTCGAGAGGAACCAATGGATACTTCACCCACTAACATTGAAGCCGATTCTCCACCAATGTCTCCACATCGCATCATGCACCTAATGAGGGACACGGTTCATACAGCCGAACTTATTCACCAAGAATATCTGTCTCTTCGCCGCAAGGACACCCAAACCTTGGAAGAATTATCCAAGAAAGTAAACCACCTTATGGCTGCTCAAACTCAATCTTGTCCTCCACCTCAAGCTTAACCTCAATCACAACCGTCAGCTCAATCGAAAAGATCTTATAAAGCTCAACTGGCGAAAGAACTTCATGAGCTTCAAACTGCTGTGAACAAGGTGGCACGACAACAACATGAAATCAAACACTCTCATTGCAGTCTCAAAGAGAGAGTTGACTTAGCATGTACAAAGATTGAGACTGCACACGATAACTCCTATCAAATGGGTCAATATTCGCTCCAAATTCTTGGATATGTGCAAGACATTTTGATTGTTGTTAACAAATTGTAACACCCCAGATTTTTAAGACTTTAAAACTTATAATAAAGGTAGAATCTCATTAATCCCAAAATACAATACAAGCGTTAGGGGTGCTATGCGACACCTGGGCTAGAGAACCCAAGTGCACAGGCTAACTAACTGAGATCCTCAAAAGCGTAAATGCATAAACATGGCACGCAAGCCGAAAGGGAAACTATCTACTTCTACGCTCCAAGTTCTAGCGCGCTCCAGTGACTTAATCTTCTGTGCCTGAAAGCCAAATATATCTGTTCAGCGAGAGATGCTGGTAACCCACTCCAACGCGTTGAAATACAATACATATAGAGATATATATAGATATACGAAAACCATTTTAAGCATGAAGATATAACCTACGAACTCTAGCTTTCAAAATCGGGAATGTCTCGATAGATAAGGCTAAGCACAGATAACAGTTATAACAAGCATATACAGTTCACAGCAGGCACGACAGATAAGGATAAGCACAATCAATAACCATGACCCAACATATATAATTCCCAACATAGATCCCGAAGTCACAACCCCAAGATACTCATAACCACACCTCATCCGCATCTCATCACACAAGCACACTTTGTTGGCGCCACAGGACCAATCGCATGCCCATACATGAGGGTCAGCGCATATAGCTCTGACACGGCCCCGCAGCACCCTGCCCCGTATCGCAACACGGAGGGGTCGATTGCAACCGACCGATGAACCGCAGCTCATCATAATGTTTGATCGCAACCAAACAGTGGATCGCAACCCAAGATAATGTCATCTGACCGCAACCAGGAAATATGAACCGCAGCTCATGTAGAAATGTTTGATCGCAACCAAACGGTGGACCACAGCCCAAGAGTGTAAATCTGACCGCAGCCAGCTTCTGAACCACAGCTCAGGAATGACCAATCCGATCGCAACCGAATTGGGGTAACACACACACACATAACACATAGCAAGGACATGCAACCCACATTACACATTGCGAAGGGGGAGAAAGCGTATAACAAAACCTATGCGTGATCCTTCACATACTAAGAATAATCCTAAGGGGTTCATACTTCTTCCACCTTGGTCAACAGGATACCAATTCAACTAGCATGCAATATATAAGACTCATAAACCTACGAACGGTACCCGAAATATCAAACTAGACACGGCACGATAGACGGAGTCCGTTGGGACACCACGGGGATCGGGGAAACATCAAACGGGGAAGCCGGAATCCCGAGTGGGGTAAATTTCCAGCGGGTAGCCGGTGGGTGGGGGGCCATCCACCGGCTGCCCGCCGGTAAGTACTGTTCCGGGCAGCGGATCGCCGGCGGGCAGCTGCCCGCCCGCCGGCTGCGCGCTGTCGGAGATGCTCATTCTGGCCGCGGGTAGGTGGCGGGTCCCCTACCCCCCACTGACTCTTTCATCACAAAAACGCCCCGGGAACCTTTGTGGAACCCGAAACCATGCTTAGACACCTTTAAACGTAATTGATAACAACCCGTAGACAATTAACGGATCAAATACGAGAAACGTACGGCACATAACCTATCATGCTTTTCTAAACATAATCAACACCCAAATATGTGATTTCCTCACCCGATACACCAAGAATAATATCATACGATACAACCTAGGGTTCTAATCACTTTTATACCAACAAGAATACGATTCGTCTTCTAATTACAAGATTCGGTAAGAATAACACATAAGCATCAAGAACATCACACAACTATCAAGAACATCATATAATCATCAAGAACTCCATATAATCATCAAGAACACCATAATTATCAAGAATCTCCCAATATCAATATTATCAAGATCCCCCATGGGATCATCACACCAATCATCAATAATAACATCACAATTCATCAATACGCAATAATATGGGGAAACCCTAAGAGGGGAATCATAACTATGAAAATAGGTTTTGTTGAGACATGGGTTACCTCTTAGCCTTAATTAATTCCTTGGTTATGAATGATCTTTCTTTAAGCTTTCTTGCTTTCTTGATTTCTCCTAGGGGAATTCTTGGAACTCTTTGGGTGGTGAGAGATTATTGTGGTGGGGGTTCTAGGTGCCTCCTAGGTTCCCTATTTATATATCTAGGGGTGTTATTTAGGGTCTAATCCTTTTGGGATTAGGGGTTGGGTTTAGAGATGAGGGCCCACGGACTATGGTGGGTCTTTTTCCCTAGTTAATCATTATAATTTATTTTTTCTATAACACCCCGTGTTACGACCCCTAAAAGATAATTAATTAACTAATCAATGGCCCAAAAGAAAGAATAAACTATAAATGATTAATTAGGAATAAAGGCCCACCATGGTCCGTGGGCCCTCATATCTAAACCCAACCCCTAATCCCAATAGGATTAGACCTTAAATAAGACCCCCAGACCTATAAATAGGGAACTTAGGAGGCACCTAGAATCCCCACCACAATAATCTCTCACCACCCAAAGAGCTCCAAGAATTCCCCTAGGAGAAATCAAGAAATCAAGAAAGCTTAAAGAAAGATCCTTCATAGCCAAGGAATTAATTAAGGCTAAGAGGTAACCCATGTCTCAACAAAACCTATTTTCATAGTTATGATTCCACCTTAGGGTTTCCCCTTATTATTGTGTTTTAATGATTGGTGATGATTATTATTGGCAATTGATATAATGATTCCATGAGGAATCTTGATAATCTTGATATTGGGAGTTTCTTGATAATTATGGTGTTCTTGATGATTATGTATTGTTCTTGATGATTATGTATTGTTCTTGATGATTATGTATTGTTCTTGATGATTATGTGTTGTTCTTGATGATTGTGTGATGTTCTTGAGGTTTATGTGTTATTCTTAACGAATCTTGCAATTAGAAGGCAAATCGTATACTTGTTGATATAAAAGTGATTAGAACCCTAGGTTGTATCGTATGCTTTGATTCTTGGATTACCGGGTGGGGAAATCGCATGTGGGCGTTGATTATGTTTAGAAAAGCATGATAGGTTATGTGCCGTTCGTTTCTCGTATTTGATCCGTTAATCGTCTACGTGTTGTCGTTAATTGCGTCGTAAAGTGTCTAAGCATGGTTTCGGGTTCCACAATGGTTCCCGGGGCGAGATTGTGTATTAAGAGTCAGTGGGGGATAGGTGTGGGGGTAGGGGACCCGCCACCTACCCACGGCCGGAAAGTACATCTCCGGCAGCGGGCAGCCGGCGGGCGGGCAGCTACCCGCCGGCGACCCGCTGCCCGGAACAGTGTTTCCGGCGGGCAGCCGGTGGGTGGCCCCCACCCACCGGCTACTTGCTGGAAATTAATCCCCCTTGGGACCCCGGCTCCCTCGTTTGATGTTTCCCCGTTCCCCGTGGTGTCCCAACGGACTCCGTTTATCGTGCCTATGTCTAGTTTGATGTTTCGGGTACCGTTCGTAGGTTTACGAGTCTATTATATTGCATGCTAGTTGAATTGGTACCCCGTGGACCTAGGTGGAAGGAGTATGAACCCCTTAGGACTATTCTTAGTAGGTGATGGATCACGCATAGGTTTGATTATACGTTTTATCCCCTTCCCGATGTGTAATGTGGGTTGCATGTGCTTGCTATGTGTTATGTGTGTGTGTTACCCCAATTCGGTTGCGATCGGATTGGTTATCCTGAGCTGCGGTTCAGAAGCTGGCTGCGGTCAGATTGATACTCTTGGGCTGCGGTCCACCGTTTGGTTGCGATCAAACGTTTCTATACGAGCTGCGGTTCGTCCTCTTTCATGGCTGCGGTCAGATGACATTATCTTGGGCTGCGGTCCACTGTTTGGTTGCGATCAAACACTATGATGAGCTGCGGTTCATCGGTCGGTTGCGATCGACCCCTCCGTGTTGCGATACGAGGCAAGGTGCTGCGGGGCCATGTCAGAGCTATATGCGCTGACCGTCATGTATGGGCATGCGATTGGTCCTGTGGCGCCAACAAAGTGCGTTATGTGTTGTGATATCGATGAGCTGTGATTATGAGTGTCTTGGGGGATGTGACCATGGGATCTATACTGGGGATTGCGTATGTGGGGTTATGATTACTGTTTATGCCTTGTCGTAAATGCTTTACCTGTTATGAATTGCATATGCTTGCTATATCTGCTGCTCGTGTCTAGTCTTGTCTGTTGAGTCATTCCCGGTTTTAAAGCTAGAGTTCGTAGGATATATCTTCATGCTCAAATGGTTTTCGTATATCTACGTATATATTTCTATATGTATTGTATTTAAACGCGTTGAAGTGGGTTACCAGCATCTCTCGCTGAACAGATATATTTGGCTTTCAGGCACAGAGGATTAGAGTACTGGAGCGCGCTAGAACTGGAGCGTAGAATAGATAGTTTCCCTTCCGGCCTGCGTGCCACGTTTATGTATTGACATTATTGAGGATTTCAGTTAGTAGCCTGTGCACCTAAGTCCTCTGGCTTAGGT